CGCCGAACGCGTTTGCTCCTTGTTCGGTCTTCTGACAGCACGTGGTACAACCATCGTGGCAGCTTCTGGTGATGGAGGTGCAAAGGGTGCAAGTAACTCAACCTGCCGAACCAACGACGGTAGCGACAAGGACGTTACCATGTCTGTTTTCCCCGCAACTTGCCCATGGGTCACAAGCGTTGGCGGCGTCACCTCTGGGGTAGAGCCCTTTGAAGGTGCTGAGTTTAGTGGAGGTGGTTTCTCTCAGTACTTCCCTCGCGAGAAGTGGCAGGATTCATCCATTAAGAGCTATGCCAAGGCTCTTGATGGTCATCTCAACGGCCACTATAACGCCAGCAACCGAGGAGTACCTGACATTTCCATTTCAGCCACCAGTTTCATCACTCGCTTGAAAGGGCAGGCAGTTGGTCTTAGAGGCACCAGCGCAAGTGCGCCTGTCGTTGCAGCTATGCTTGCGCTCGTCAATGACGCACGTGTACGGAAAGGCAAGGAGGTACTGGGTTGGCTCAACGAAGTACTCTACTCCGAGGAAGTTCAAGCAGCTCTTCAGGATGTTACTAAAGGACAGAGCCGATCTTGCGATTTCAGAAAGGGTGGCAGCCCAGGAGGCTGGCCGGCAGCAAAGGGTTGGGATGCGATCACAGGCCTGGGAGTTCCATCTGATTTCCAGAAGCTGTTTGACGTGTTGGTCGATATCTGAGGAGAGATTAATTGTTCGTTTTCAATTCTAAACAGTGTATCTTTTATAGCATGTTAATAGCTCAATATGAGTAAAAGTTGGGTACTTGCTTTAGATTGGATGCTTCGATTGATCTGTCGCGTGTTTTTCGAGACTCACGGTCAGTTGCCGATTTTTAGGATCAGTGGAACCACTGCAGTGTGATGGGCAGTTCAGCGGTCTAGCGGCATTCCCGCGCCTGCCGTCAACAGTTCCCTAGGGCCCTTAAACTCAAGACCCATTACTTATCGATAGCTTCCCTCAGCCCAGCCTTCTGGAGAGCGCGTTACAATTAACAGGGACTTGGACACAAAGTCCTCGACTCGCGTTCTGGCACTTTTCTGGATATTTATTTCTTTGCAGTGACACTTACGGACTGAAAAAACAGCGAAATCAAGGCACGATTAGGGTCCAAGTTGGCTCGTGGTGATATTATTGTTATCATTGCTTATACCGGCCATTGACGATCGCTCTACTTTGGCGCGGTCCCCTCCCGGTCGCGACCCCAGCTCTGGACCTCTTTAACTCAAAGTCGCTTGCCCGCCACAACCTGACTAAGTGAACTTCAACCTCACACCACAAACAACCTCGCAGACAATCACGTTCCCGACGAAACAACCATACCCGTACCGTAATGACGACAAGCTTCTCTCGAACTTCTCTGCTATAAGCTTATCCTGTGAACCCCGTCGTCGGCTTCACGCGATCGCGGCTTAGACCCGCCTGCAATTGTATCGCGACGCGGCCGACTTTCTCTATTCTCATTGCCCACAATGCCAACTATCCACGTCTCCAGAGACTCCCAGGACGTGCTACAAGACATCGCCAACGGCCTACTAAAAGCCCGCAAGGTCATCGTGGTGACCGGTGCCGGCATCAGTACAAATTCGGGCATTCCTGTGAGCTCTCAAACACTCCAGCGCTTACCAGATGCGCTTTGGAGTGACTTCTTGGTACACCCAATTGTCGGCGATAGCTAATCTGGCTAGGATTTTCGTTCTGAAAACGGTCTGTACTCCCTAATCAGTGCTCAATTCGACGCGGCAGCACAACAGGCGCGTCTGAACGAAGGCTCGAGCGAAGATAAATCTACCGACTTAGACATTCGCCGGCCGGCCAAGAGGAGAAAGATAATTCACGATGTATCCCCCAATGTTCAGGAGGGCTCGGTCGATACGAAAGAAGAAATAGAAGTTCAGTTGGAAAATCCCGAACCAGAACAAGAAAAGATCGCAGACACAATTCAGGTCGAAGGCCACCCAGACGATGAAGAGCAGCAGGAACGCTCAGATGGGATGCCCGTGGTCAATCCCAGGACGACCCGTTCAACAATAGCTGTGGCTCAGCCTCCGAGTTCCCCTCTGTCTTCGCCTCCGCCCGAAGGTCTAAATATTCAACCACCCTCAGTCTTCCGAAGGACGCGACGCAGTCACTTAGCCGATTCTGCAATTCCACCAAGCTCTTCACCTCTATCATCACCTCCTCCGGTCTTATTTGACCCATTCTCTTCCGGCACATCCTCAGAAGACGGCCCGAGTCGGCGCAGCAGCACATCGCCATCAGAAGTCGACGATACCCCGCCCTCAAATCCAATCAGTTTATCGCAAGCAAGTTTTGTCTCTGGCAAGAATACTTTGCCTAATATGAAGGGAAAGGATATGTTCGACGCGTCAATCTGGTCAGATCCTCTCCGAACATCAGTGTTCTACACATTCGCGACCACGCTACGTCAGAAGGTTAGGGATGTGGAACCGACAAGTTCACATCGATTCATCAGCCATCTGAGAGACCGTGGCAAGCTCGTGCGCTGCTACACTCAAAATATCGACCAGATCGAGGAAAAGGTTGGACTATCGACATGCCTCCACGACGGGCCTGGAAGCCGTGGGCGCTTTTCAAGAAAGTCAACAGCCAACATAAACCAGCTCAACAGGATGGTTGACGAAGTAAATGCCATGACCGACACGAACTCTTCAGACAAGTCTCAGCAGTCGTCGGATAACGAAGCCAGCCAGCAGTCTCAATGCAGTCAACCGAAATTTGAAAGCACAGTGCCTGCTTCTCAAGCGGAATCCGACCAATGTGCAACTGATGAAGCCCTGACCGCAGTAAGAAATTTGCGTCGCGACCTTCCAAAGTCAGGCGTGGAGTGTGTTTTCCTCCACGGATCATTGGAGCTTCTACGATGCTTCCTGTGCGGTCGAGTGTGCTCGTGGGATGACGACGAACGCCAGCTAGAGACCATGTCAGGTCAACAGCCTGAATGTCCTCACTGTGTAGGCGCTACGGTTGCTCGAGAAGAACGCGGGAAGCGAGCATTGGGCGTCGGAAAATTAAGGCCCGACATTGTGCTCTACGGCGAGGAGCATCCCAACGCGCACCTGATCAGCCCCATTGTTACACACGACTTAGCTCTATGCCCCGACCTCCTATTAATCCTTGGTACCAGTTTGCGAGTTCATGGGCTGAAGGTTATGGTCAGAGAATTCGCCAAAGCAGTTCACGCAAAAGGTGGTAAAGTTATCTTCGTTAACTACACTAAGCCCCCAGAGAGCTCATGGGGCGACGTTATCGACTATTGGGTCGAGTGGGATTGCGACGCCTGGGTATCTGATTTACAAGACAAAATCCCCAAATTATGGCAAACGCCTGAACCTCCCAAACTTAAGAAGAAGCGGGAGTCTAGTGGTGTTGCTGAGGAGGCCGAAAAGACCGAGACGAAACGCCCAGTTGCAGCATACCCGGTTGCCCTCCGTGATACAAAGGCTACGGGGGCATATTGGAGTTCAAGGATAGTAAAGGAACTGCACAGAATCACGGGCCACGGTCCTCTAGAATCACTGGTCTCTGCGCCGCCAGCTATTGTCACAACAATAGAGACGCTCCCACCTGCCGATACGCCACTGAAGACACCCCAAGGCAAACCTGATCGGGTCAGAACTAGAGCTCAACGGTCGCGCAAGTCTGCACCAGGTGTTCTAGAGCGATCCAGCATACCTCCCTCGACACTCAATCCCAATCATGGGCGAACTCTGCGAAGTACCGACACAAGAGCGCACCTCTTAGGCGATGACATGGTGCCTTCGAATGCAACCATTACACATGACAGGGTGCTTCTTCACGGAAGCTCGATAGCCAATCTAGTCAAGTCGAGAGCACGAGAGCGCAAGCGCAAGAAAATTGATGGCGAGGAAGTGTCTCTTCCCTCCAAACGAACACTGGGTTCACTCAGGCTGGCTCCATTGAGGCCTCAGCCATCAGATCCCCGCGATATCATACCTTTCGACCGACTGCCAACAATGGAGCTCCCTCCAGATACCCCGGAACCATACACAGAAACTGGGCAATTGCAATCCATCTCACCCGTGATGCATCATACGGAACCGTTAATGCCTGTTTCGCATAACACGCGAAAGCAGACACATATCAGACGTAGCCAGGCATCTTTCATGCGCGGCCAGGATCTCGCTACAAGTCCGGCGCATATGTTGCCGCCAGAGATGTCGCATGGACTATTGGTATCTTCAGATGACCGGTGCAACCTTGTCATGAAGCCTGTCCGCTCACAGAGGGAGGCGGATGCAGCTTTGGCGCTATCTGCGCTGAGCCAGGGCGACGCACGCCCAGTCATCACCAAAGAGTTCGCTATACCGCCGTGTACGGGCGTTAAGATACGCAAGTCGGCAAGGCTGATTCACAGGTCTGGCACGCCTACGAGCACTTAGGGTAGGGGATAGTGACTTGTGACGGACGATTGCAAAGTCCACATACGAATAATCGCAGATTAGCGAGAACATCAGGGCCCAGGTCCCTCAGAGCATTTATGGCAGGGCGTTTGGGATGGCGGATAAGCCATGTAGCACTGCACTACAATTGATTGAATGAAAGTTGAATTTCTTTTTCCAAGACTCACATGCTGATTAATTGATCTCCGCAATCGGCGCATGCCAGGGTGACTCTTGAGGAATTGGGGACTCTCCCCCAGCTCTGAACTTCTCGCGTTGCTGGTGTTGAGCAATGTCAGTGACTCCTATTGCTCGCCGAAAAGCGCCTTATCACGCCCTGATGCGGGTACCCACGGGGTTGGTCCTCGGGTCTGGCGACTAAGGGCGTCGTTGACGTTGAAGATGTGGGGTATTCAGCTCGTACTAGACAGTATCATTTGACTCATAATAGCATGAGCTGAGAATCTATAAGTTGTCGTGTCGAGCTCATCATAGACAAAGTTCAATGGGTTAAGTATACAATCATTGTCTAGCTTCTATACAAGATACACATCATCATGGGTTCTATTGGTCAAGGATCTTCGCAGCAGCTTCCTGTGCGGGGCAAGACTAATACATCAGTCTTTGGAAGCGCTATCAAGAAGGAGTTTCTGTTTGATCCAGAATGGAGAAATCTTAACCATGGTATGAAAGAGTCCAAGTGGGAGGAAGACCTCAACTGACAGGAGTTGTAGGTTCCTTCGGTACATATCCTCAGGCTGTCCGAACAAAATTCCGCGAGTATCAGGATGCGAGGTAAATACACTCTATTTCCTGATTATGATCTCTTGTCTAACAATTCTTAGCGAGGCTCGTCCTGACCCATTCATCCGCTATGAATACCCCAAAATCCTCGACGAGAACCGCGCTGCTGTCGCAAAGCTTCTCAATGCCCCAGTGGACAGTGTTGTGTTTGTCTCCAATGCCACTGTTGGTGTAAACACAGTCTATCGAAACACGAAGTGGAACGAAGACGGAAAGGACGTCATCATCAGCTTCTCAACCATCTACGAAGCTTGCGGCAAGGTCGCAGATTATCTTGTTGACTATTACAACGAAAAAGTGACTCATCGTGAGATCGAGCTCACATATCCTCTCGATGACGAGGAGATCATCAAGAAGTTTGAAGATGCCGTCAAAAAGATTGAGTCTGAGGGTAAGCGTGCTCGCATTTGTACGTTTGACGTTGTCTCCTCTCGACCAGGTGTTGTCTTTCCCTGGCAAGAGATGATCAAGACTTGCCGTCGCCTCAATGTGCTGAGCATGGTCGATGGCGCTCAAGGCGTTGGAATGGTGAAGTTGGACCTCTCCGCCGCTGATCCAGACTTCTTCGTGTCAAACTGTCACAAGTGGCTTCACGTCCCACGGGGTTGCGCTGTCTTCTACGTGCCTCAGCGCAACCAGGCACTTATTGAAACGACACTCGCTACCAGCCACGGTTACGTGCCCAAGCTGGTGAAACGTATCACACCACTCCCTCCCAGCTCCAAATCTCCATTTGTCACCAACTTTGAGTTCGTCGGCACGCTTGATAACTCGCCATATCTTTGCGTAAAAGACGCTATCAAATGGCGTCAGGAAGCTCTCGGTGGTGAAGATGCGATCTTGGAGTATATCTGGGACTTGAACAAGAAAGGCAGTGAACTCGTCGCTGAGAAATTAGGCACGACATATATGGAGAACAGCACAGGCACGATGCGAAATTGTGGCATGGCTAACATTGCATTGCCGGTTTGGACTGTGGAGGGTAAAGAGGGTGAGGTTGTCATCTCTGCGGAGGAGACGCAGACAGCGTTCCAGTGGATTCTGAATACGCTTATTAGTGATTACAAGACGTTTGTGGCGCTGTTTCTGCATGGGGGGAGGTTGTGGATCAGGACGAGTGCGCAGGTTTATTTGGAGATTGAGGATTACGAGTGGTTGGGTGGTGTGTTGAAGGAGATTTGTGAGAGGGTTGGTAAGAAGGAGTATCTCAAGTAGAGTCGCATGTGTATGGGATCTCAGTACTGGGGAAGTGCTAGTGACAGATGAGGATAATTCCGCGAAATTGATATCATGAGGCATTCAAGATATAATCTGTCTCCAGTACCAGATTACAAACGATCAGGAATCTTCCCCGTGAAAGAGTTACTATTGTAAGCGTTGTGACGTTGAAGTGTGTGTTAGTGTTCATCGAGACCAGTCTTGCGGCCTAGTTATGCCGAAGGATGAAGGATCGAGGCGAAGCTTTGCTGAATTAGGATATATTAACTTGACGGCAATACTCTACCTTGATCTTGTACGCTTTGCAGATATTCGCAATCCGAATTGGGAATACGAATGACAAGCAGGGATCTTTACGGGTTGAGGGTGTCAATCAATCGCCCTGTTTGTATGAATACGCTGTGCGCCTCGTGACGCTAGGCATTCAGCTTCCAACGGCCACTCGCCACAGCAATTCTATAAATATGGATGTTCTAGAAGCTCACCTGCCAAGAAGTTTACCATCATTACTACCCCATAGCAAGTCATCTTCACTCCAAATACAATAATCTCAAACAAGACAGCCTCTTTATCAAAAAACTACCATAATGGGTAACTCTTCGTCTTCCTCGTCAAATCCCTCCGAAGAAGCCAAGGATAAGAAGACGCTGTATGAGCGCTTTCAAGCCGGCAAAAAGAGTGTACCACTCAGCGACGAGGATATACTAAAGTACACGGGCAAGACTCGCGATGAGCTCAGCACATGGGCTGACACTCAGCCCGGGGTCGGAAAGAATCAACTCGCGGGTAGCGTAACAGCTGGTCCGATTTCTGGACTTGGAGGAGTTGCGATGGCCGATGGCCTTGGAGGTTGGGGACCGAGTGCACATCCGAATGACAAGAACAGAGGAATGAAGTTCCCTCCTACGAGGGGGAATGAGGCCAAGGACACTACTGAAGTGACAGAGGTGGTGGAGGATAAGAAGTGACGATGTCACAAATGGGCAAAAGGATGATATCACGACAGCGAAATTAATGATAGTGCAGGCATTTATTCAATTTAGTATTGCTTTATTTGGCGTCTCTTTCGAGTGTCATTCAAGTTTGAGTTCATGTTTTCCAAACTTGAATGGCTCAAACTAAACGAATGACAAGGCTCCATACCTCGAACGAGAGACGAGGCCCTGGATCCTGAATTTACACGTTCCGCTTCTCAACAGTGACTTTCTTTGATCCCGTTTACAGATCATTCTGCTTCTTACGAGTGTCAAAGATCTTGAGAGCTTCCTCGGCAGCCTTGAGACCACTCAGGGCCATGGCACCAAAGGTAGGACCTGATAAATGTTAGACGCAGTACATACCAGAATTAACATAACAACTTACCCATGCGGTTGGCACCGTCAACCTCAGAAAGCTCCATTCCACCAACAATAAGACCAGGAACGATCTCACGCGTTCCCTTGACAATGGCATCCTCAGCGAGGTTCATGTCAAGACCACGCATACCACCGAGCTTCTCAATGCGCTGCATGCTGACAAGGCGCTTGACACAGAAAGCTCCCATGGGGCCATCGTGACCAGTGGTAGAGATGATCAAAGGAGCGTTAATGGTGTTGGGGTCCATGCAAGACTGGTCATCGTGGTGCATGGAAACAAGAGTCCAGTTGGTGACAACACCAGCAATGCGGACTCCCTCCTCGGAAGGTCGGGTGATGAGATCCTCAACACAAGTGGCGTTGAAGAGCTTGATGTTGGGCATCTGAAGAACCTTGGACATGATAGTCGAGGTGAAGAGGGCTGCGTGCTTGACAACGACGTAGTTGCCCTCATCCTCATAAGGGACGCCAACCTCACGGAGGAAAGCATCAGCAGGCTTGCGCATGATCATGGCGGAGAAGAGCTGTCCACCAAGCCAAGCACCACCACCAGGAGACACAGAAGCCTCGATGATGGCGATCTTGAGATCAGGGCGCTTCTTGCCAAGGATGTACGCAGCGCTCAGACCGCACGAACCAGCACCGATGATGACAATGTCAGACTCGGCATAGTTGTCGAGGTCCTGGAAGTAGCGGCGGGTCATGGCGCGGGAGACCTGGCTCTCGCGGATGGGGGCAAACTTGAAGTCATCCCACTGACCGAGCATCTCCTCAACGGTCTTGGTGTTGATGTTCTTGCTCATGACTGGGAGCTTGGTAGAGGTGGCAAGCTCGGCAGAGCGAGAGGGAGGGGAGACAGCAGCGGGAGGGGCCATTTTGATCTTGGGCCTATTGTTGTTAGAGTCTGGTGGTCAATAGGGAAGATGACATGATCCTTTCGCTGGTATTATCCAGATCAAGTTTTGCCGTATAATCTCAGCCACATCCCCCTATCATCACCATGACCAGTTTGTACTGAACATGCCGATGATAAAAAGAATGGGCACCGGCTCATGCATGATACTTTACCTGAGAGGTCCCAATCAGGTTTGGACAAGAATACCGTTGAAAGGCTCCATGGCTGCTAAGGTAGCTTAGGAGAGCCGTACAGATTATGATATCTAGCATATCATATGTGTCAGAGCAGCCCTTCAATGCAATTCAGATACAAACCTTGGGTATTCTTCAAGTGTTTCAAGTCGGTTCAATGAGTTGATGAGAAGGAAAAGAAGAAGAGTTGGGAATGGAACGATTCCGACCTTTTTATGCCCGCAGGTGAGGGGTAAAAGTAACCCGTTGATATCATGACGGAGCAAAGCGGCCGCTGCTGGCCAACAGAATGCAATGCCGAGTATTACCTACTATAGACGCGTGTTTTTGATAGGTGAGTGTGTGGGGGTCTCTTGTTAAGTGAAGATGACTGCCGGGGTTGAGCATCATGAGCAATATCCCCTCCATCATATCATGCATCATGATATCAACTCAATCGCTTCAATTAGCCTTGAATTTATCCCAATCACCCATCTCGAATCTCACAATCAAGATTTACCTCATACAATAGAGATGTTGAGCAAAATACAAAGATAACTCCAACTCTTGAGCATGTGAAGGCCCTTCAAGCTGGGGGATTCTCAGTTCCACTGAATGCGGCTTTTAACCGGCCATGACATGACAGAATGAACATGTCAACGACCCACACTTGAACTTTATTGCTGCATCGGAGTTACAATGCCGAGTCGAATGAGTCTGGAACCAGCCAATTATCAAGTGTGTAATTATCTAGCTCCTTGACGAGGTCCAGGGTTCGGTCCTGACACGGCACTAAACTGCATCACCAAGTGACCTGGATTGCAGACTTCATGATATAAAGTAGAGATTGGCTGTATGGGTTGAAACATATGAGAATGGATACAATGGATAAGTGGAAAGGTATCATGATGTAGCTTAGGCCTTCTCGAGTAGTCTTAGTTTCTCTTGAGTTTCATCATCACATTCATGAGCGATATATCACTATGCACCATAGAGATATCGGCTATATTTATTCACCTCGCAACAGGTGGCATGATACTTCTCTAAGCGAGCCGGTAGCATTCAAAGTAGCTCAAGCTTTCCACCTTGACTGCCATACGGCATTCGAGACACCGAGTTCCATTGTGTCAAGATAGAGAGGGTCATCCACTTGGCTAATAATAAACGTCGAAATTGTAGTTACAACCGCCAACTACAAATCTCGACAGCCAGTTTCCGCAGTACTCAGTGGCCTCTATCGTCATCTTCTTGTTCTCCTGCTTCATTTCCATTTCGCACACACACATCGCGAGTACCAACACGTAGAGCTTGGCATCGTTACGAACGCCCGTGAGGTTCAACATATCGTACTCCAATCGCTGGGTTATGCTCAGACTTGCATTGCTGAATGTCAGCAGAGTGCCTTTGGGAATAGACGCGAAAAGGCTTCGCTCAGATGGTTCGATAAGTGGCGATATGGATCGTCTTTTGATCTCAAGGTTGTCGCCGTCGAAGCAGGCCAGGATTCTGTATTCCGTCAAGTCGATGCCACCTTGAACAAGCAGTTCCCCGCGGAAATACTCAAGATTTCGTCGCAGACGGTCACTTGAGTTTGAGCTTGTACGGTGTAGAGACGTTGTGCGACAGCATATGCATCGTAGACTCCAGACAGGTCTTTCAACCAAAACCGCAACAATGATGATACTCCTGCCCCCTCTTTCGATAAGTCGTTTCCTCCAATTCAGAGCCCTCTCCCATGATCTAAAGAATGAGACGAACGGGTTATCAACACGCTTCCAGGACAGAGTGGTCATCGGCGGCCTGCCAGAAGTCGTCATCCGATATGTAACAACGAGGTCGAATGCTGCTGAAGTTTATGGAGTGTTGGCTAGCGAAACCACAATTTTCGTCGTGGCATTCCACACGAAACCCTATCAGTTCGTCTACAGCCTTTGGTAATTTGCATGGGTAGTTCATTGCTGAAGAAGTGAAGGCAATGCTTTGGTTTTGGTTATATGTGCTTGACTTCTCGAGGTTCTCGTTTCATCGGGAATATGGAGAACTGTATATGTCAGGTCAGCTCAGGTGAATTCACGTAACGTAAGTGACTCGCCAAGACGTAATGATCTAATTACATGGTTGTAGTTACAAATAATAGGTCAATAAGAGGTCAATTAAAGGAAGTTGTGCAGTCAAACAAGCCTTCGAGGTTTATTCTCTGCTTTGTTGGAGTGGTTGGATAAGTGGCTGCACGAACGTCGAGTGAATATCAGTAACAAGGTGGGAACTCATAAATCTTGACACCAAACTCACAAGCAATATGAGAACCTTGTGTATAAGGACACACGGACTAAGCGAGTGTTCATCTCCTTTCAGAATTACACTCCAAATACGACGAGCTTCCAAGGAGTTGCCTTGGCCTCCCTTTACACAGAAGGATTTGTGTGAAGAAGAAGTACGTTCAACAGTATCGAAACTAGATGATAGCTGTAGCTATATGATTTTGTGTTTGTGAAGCTGGTGACATCTTCATTTCCTCCAATAATCGGCGTGGTCCAGGGTTTCGATCCCGACATAGCACTGAGCTACCTCACAAGCGATCAGGAATTGGATGGCTTACTATGTGGCAGAAATCATGATGAGGCCTAAATTGGCTATATGAGTTTTCAACTACAATTTTATGTGTCAAGATAAAATGGAAGTATATCACAGTATTGCTCAACAATAGAAGTTACCTGCTTGGCTCAACATCAATTGCGACACTACCTAGGTAAGCAATATATCCCTATGCCACAATATATCAGCTGAAAGTCGTCTACTCTATACAGTTGGCACAGTCCCTTTCCCACTAACGCACTCTTGTCCTTCGTTTCAACTTGTCCTCCACCGTTCTGGCTTCTCTCAGCGTTCATCCACCCCGTGTGCGTCATACTTCATCAACCCATTCTCTAGTCTGAAATGATATTCTCGTTTTCCGTTCGACAAGACTACCCGTTGACTATTAGGCGCTTCAGTAGTCTCGATATCTCTACCGTCTTCTATTCTCCAGGTTCTGATAGGACATCCACAAATTGCGAGCACAAGCGCGCAGAACTTCCCATCATCCATACTTCCGGTACGATTACATAGCTCATTTGCCAAACGATCGGTGCTGTCAAGGTTGTCATTATCGGAATTCCGTGGATCTTCCTTAGGGATCATTGCAGGCATGAGCTGTCGCTTGTCATTGATAAGTGGTGATATCGAAACTGTCTCGATTCCGTAGGGCCCCCGAAACTTGCAAGTATCATACTTGGGTATGCGGGGATGCCACCCGTAATAAGGATTTCGTCAATATGGGGGTCAAGCGGTCTTGCTTTCTCCTCAGTTGTAGTTGGGCATACCACAAAGCCCAGGTACTTTGCAATACCTTCTGCATCGTAGACTACTCGGTGTTTCAGCCAAATGGCAATAATCACGATGTTTAAGGCTCCGTGTTTAATAAGCCATTCTCGTCGTCGCAGGGCACTCTCCCAAGATCTAAAAAGCGAGGTGAAAGGGCTCGGGAGTTCTTTCTGGATAAAATGATATTCGGCGGCTTTGAAGAAGGGTAGGTCGTCGGATATGTTGCACTCAGTAGTTAAGCTACCGCGGCGGTTGCGGCCGTTCGGGCCAAGCTCTACTTGCTGTTGGCTAGTGTGTGTGTATTTAAGGTCACGACATTCCACACGAAAGCCTATGAGCACACTAGTGGGCACTATTCGATCATCGAGAAGTTCCATCGTCATAGTTTGAATGTTTACTTCTGTATGCTGTCTTATGTCTTTTCTCAAGCTCGCTGAAGAAATTCGGGACATTTATATGCCAAGTGAAAGGCATTCACTTAATATAAAACACCCACGTAGGATTGTTAACATACTGAAGTTCAAAGGAGAGCCTAGAAGTGACTGATGCATATACAACCGGAGAAAGCGAGTGTATAATTCACCCAGCCTTTGTAGGCTGTCTACTCCCAGCTTGAAGTGATGCACATGTGGCTCGCGCTGAGTACAGGGTATAAAGGGAAACAGTAACAGACACAGTCTTCCTTATAAGAGTTCAATATTAAAGAGAGGAAGAGACTTGAATATGTAGTCTTGCTCGACAAAGGCTGCATTGTCGTAAGTTGAGGCAAACAATATGGTGTTGATCGTCAGACCCCAGTCCTTCAAATAGTCACATGGTTAATTACAGATCTATCCACAGGCTTTAAGTATCTTTCCCCAAGAGTTTGGACTGTTGAGTTACTGTTTAGCTTTGGTTCTCACTCAATCTCCAGAGCAGGGGTCATGTGGAGGAGAGTTCCAAGAGGGGGACCAGACATTCACTCATAGCTACGTCGCAAGACCAAGTTCTACCTCTCATGGCCAATAGCCCTTGTTATTAACTTAGTACTACCTATTTGTTAAGACTATATGTATCGCCTAGTCTAACAGTAGTAAAGGGGCTTGTCTCCGCTCCGACCTCGACCTCGACCTTGACCTTGTGAAGTAGCACCTGAAAGATTGTGGTGCTGAGTTGTGTTGTCCCTGCTGAAGGACGACCCAGGACCACCACTTGCCTTGGTTATATATCTCTCATCTCTCTTTTCGTTTCGTGTCATGCCAGTGTCATTACTTCTTCATTCGAGCTCTAGTACATGGCTTCATAGATGTAAGAGTTGTAACAGAGGTTAAGTGAGAAGACACAAAGATTAATATCCATAGACCCAAGAGGCGTTTTGAAGTCGTAATTGTAAGTAAACTCAGTGGTTCACGTCCATTAAGGTGTTACACGAAGCTTGTTGTGGGCCAGTGCTTGCTAGTCTACGGTGTTGCTTTGTTTCCGAGGACAGCATTCATGCAACAAAGGACCAAATTTTACGCAAATGGCATTCACTTCACTACGTCTGAAATTATATTGAAGCACATTTCTTCCTTCATATGTCTGTCAAGGGTGATAACTAAACATAAGAAAGCTCACATCGACGATATCTTTCCTTCAAAACCTACCCTATTGTAAGTGCAAGTCGGACAAGCCGAGCTTCATAATTACAACTATGCCCAAACTCACATACAATCCCTTCTAATATGATACTGATATATATACAAAGGTCCATCTCTTCTTCCTTGATGTTTTGATGGAGCTATCACTTAGTATTTGCGCAGTTCCCGTAACTGCTGTGTGACGCCTTCGTCAAAGACGCGCAACAATGGCTCGAAGAACAGTACATTTTAAGGTAGGACGCCTTCAAACAAACCAAGACACTAATTTCAATTAACTAAAGGTATATTATGTAGGTCTAAACAACTCTTGGGGGTTGTTTCTCTAACAGCTAGCACACACGGGATGCCATCGGAGAAGGACACATTGAACAGCATCGAGGCTCATTGATCACTCCATGTTACTCTTCTTTTCATGCAGCTGGGTTGTTATATTTCTTTTTATGCATTCATTTGACGTGAGTACAATTTCTCTTCCTTGAAAATCGTGGGCGGCTTCAACAGCCTCTTCTCAGCAGGTTCGCCGTGATACAGCCAAACATCACAAGTACCGGCCTCCTTTCAAGTCAAGCACTAGACGTGCACAATAGTTTAAGAGATGTGGACTACCCTACGGTGCTCTTACAATATGCAAACATTTTTTTAAGACAGTTAGTGATTGCGTTGTATCAGACCACAGTCAAAGTCTCTTACTGTCCTCAGCATCTCGCTCTCGCTCTCGTATTCAAGCCTAAGGTTAGGCCTAAGTCAGACTATTGAGCAACACATTCCTGAGCATATGCTCGTCGACAGAAACAGGTACACCGCCAAAGAGCCTCAACATGACATCCAAGTGTGCATGCTGACTGACGAATGACGCTCTCGAAATCTGTAACAGATGCATGACACCTGTATGGCATTTTCTACGTTTCGTGCCTCATTTCTTCTGCTTAAGTGTCAAGTTGAGACTCGTCAACTCTGTAGCGGTGAACAATTGAATGCCTCATGAACAGACGTTCGCAAAACAACGTTCACCACGTCCTCCGCAGCGCAGATGCAAGTATCTCTGGTTTTGGAAGTTGACTGCAGACGCAGTAGCATCGCCCTCAAGAGAGGGGAATATTCATGTGCGTATTAAGCAGAGTCCTCAACGAAAGTAAAAAACTGCCCATTTGGTGATTGCGCATTTGCCTTCGTTCCATATGTGAGGCTATAGAACGAACAGGATGCCCTCCTTTCTGCTGTTGAGATGGCGGTGAGCAAAGTCGTTGCATTGTGAACAATCCAATCACAGACGATAGCACGCAATGTCTCACATTGAGGTTAGATTTGCGAGGTTTGATCTTGGAGGATCCCCTTCTCATTTGCATAAGGCGAGTGATGCACATGATACATTGAAGGGAACTGGGTTTGAAGATTTGACGAGGGGTTGATCTGGGAGACTTGGAGTTACCCCATTGAGAAGTGTAGACTGATTGGGAGGTTCGGCAGGCAAAGAAATGCAAGTTTGACCATGCAGCCTCGTTCTGTAGATCAGGGCAGATGGAGCATTGCATCCGCCCCATTCGTGCAGTAACTTAGGGTAGCAACACATCCATCCAGTAATCTGACGACTTCAGTCTTGTACTTTAGATTGAGACAGTCCATCACAGTACTAAACTCTGTTCAGAATTAGTTGCTCTAGTACAACGCACGCAGGCATACGACAATTAACTCACTGGAAGGACCTGGAGGCTAGAGAAGCGAAATAACAGACCCGATCTCAGCGGATACCCCAGTTGACACTCCCGTGTCTCACCAGACTCCAGATGCCGCCCACAAGGCAAGGCAAGACAAGACAAGAGCAAGACCGGGAGGGCGAGTACGGGTCACGGATAGACGATTGCCAAGCAAGATTGATGGTCCTGTCGGCTTCTCTTCCTCATCCCCGTCCCCTATATCCGTAACCAGCAGTGTCCCCTCCGTTGCTGGACAGCACAGTACAGTAGGGAATAATATGCAGCAGCCTCAAAAGGGAAATACCGTCAATGCACTCTTCCCGCCCTAGACCAACGAGCTTAGCCCCGCGTAGCGCCATCCAATATCTCCGCTAGACCACATGGCCTCTCCATTCAGAAGCCTCACCTGAGCCTAGCCTTGTCCATCAGAGCAGTAGCGTGCGGTGGGAGTTCTCTTTTCTCCACAGTCCGATGTGATATGGGTTTTTTTTTTACTGTAAGCGACGCGATGGCATTAAAACAAAAGAGACAACAACGGGATTAGACTAAATGTGAGAGATCGGCACGCCATGCGAAATTACTGGGATCCCCACACGGATGTGAACCTATGATAGGCTTGGTCCTTTAATATGCAGACCATACGTAGATGAACATGGTTCTTTTGCTGCAGCTTTTGCTTTTTCGAGAGCTAAAAGTTCATAATGCCTTTTCTTTTCTTACTGGGCGCGCTCAGGCCGCCCGCTCTAATGTGGTTGACTTTGCGATCACCCATAACGAAGAACTTGGGGTCAATTTGCGTTTGACTCGTGCCGAATGTCGGTCTGAAAGATGCACTGTCAAAGCGCGATTGAGTTCGTCCAGAAGGATGGCATCTTTGCCCTTGTAGAGCCTCAACATTTCGTTAACTAGCCTGTCAGTAGATACAGGGATGTTGTTCAAATTTGCCAAGACAAAAGATTACGGATCAGCTATGGCTACCTTCCTTGGACTATCTTCTTATTGCTGCCTAATCATTGACTGGGAGTCTCCTTGTTAACAGTTGACAACTACTGTGCAAGGAAGCCCCTTACTACAGATACTTTGTAATTGGTCTTGATGATTCAGGAATATCGTATTCGTCTTGCAGCCTTGTACCTGCAGCGTGTTATCCAAGAACCAGGTCTACACCCATAACGCCTTTTGAAAACATCAAGATCATTTCAATTGCCAAATTCATGGCAACTCAGTTTCAGACAAACCGAGCTTGTCTTGAGAATCTGGGAACATCAGAAATTGATGATCAGACCACCTGGCCAGGTTTGAGATATACATGTTCGCATACATGCATGCAGACACAGTATCATCGAGCCTTGTTACTCAATGTTTTTATCATCACGCCAAGTGTTTCTTAGTCGTTGAAGACCTTATATGTTGCCTTCAAATTGTTTGAGTCTAAGTATCCCTTCTCAAAATCATGTCAAATTCATCTCAATATCCCACATGGAAATGGACAAATCAAGATCCATCATGGATCTGCTACAGTGTTCACCATCAGCGAAACAGTTCGAGATTGCCGAGAAACAAGAGGTGGCAATCCAACGCAATCTCTTGTACTTATCTCATCTAAAGTCGGGATGCAACTCAAGATCGTGTCTTGTACCAAAGATAGTGATTAAGATACGTCATTTCGGAGAATCTCCTGTTTGGAAACTGCAGAAGCAATTCGCAACGCCCAAGAAAGTGTTTGCTTGCTTTTGTTATTTTTATGATGAAGGATTCATGCTTGCCAGAAGCAACTTTGTGGTTCACTCTGAAGCCTTAATTGTAAGAGATTATAGGTGTGTAGATATGTAATATTTGATATATCAGAATGATTACCTAGATGAACTGGGGCGATAGGGCCGGCGATCGATAGCCACGCGACATCAGACGTTTTACGGTTCGTCTGCCTGTGGTTTCAAAGACTATTAGGTGATGGACGTGGTTCACAGTGGCTTAAGGGCCGGGTTCCCATTAGCTCAACAGGGGTCGGCTCAACCACACATTTCGTAACCTGGCGCGATCAAGCCAGCTGAGGAACTTGGTCAGATCATTCTTGCCTATGGATCGTTCGAATCACCCCAGATATCAATTCTTTGAAGCGGGCAGCTGCATACCCGACAACCAGGGGCTGAAGGCCTGGTCACCTGAACAGCTTTTCCCGAGGCTGTGGTTGCGCAAGTTCATCCCTTGTTAGCTGCTGCAAGGAGTTATTGTATCGCTGGGCTAGTGAGTTCCCTCTCGCTCAATCTCCTGATATAGGAATTTGTTAATGTATTTGCTTTATCCTGGTTGCGTCTCGTCGGCAAGGGGGATGATTGGAGTTAAGTCTGTCAACTAGCGATTAGAGCTCAATGACTAAAAACAAGCTTGAATCACCAACGCCGAACTGGAAACACTCCCTTCGGATGTATGCAGCAAACCTCAACCTCATCGTTTCGCGGGACGCTTCAGATGTCGTACAGTATGACATGGGACACTTCTGAGTGACTGGCTATAGGGAGGGGGGCGTGTAATATACGTTATAGTAGCGAGGTTCTGCTCCAATGTGGGCTGTGGATAGAGCTAGGATCTGGATCTTGAACAGCATCGCCCCTCCACGGGAGGCTACATGTACATCCAATGTGCCACCAATAGAGTTGTCGGGCATGGCCGGCCATTGAAGGGATCAAGATGGGGTATCCAATCGCTTCTTGGTGTGAAAGTCCAGCAGCTCAGCTTAGTACCTTTTCTTTTTCTTTCGCCGACTCTGTTGCAGGCTGGACCGTCACCGAAAATCCTGGTCCAAGTTGTTGCTTTTGTCTGCAGTATAATCACATCGAACTTCCAGATTTCGGGTCACTGGTTTCACCAGCGGTCTAGTGTTTCTATTTACCATTGACCGCAGTGCGAAACCAATACTTTGACAGTATTGTCTCTCACGCACGCGTAGGTAACGGACTTGGTGTTGGGGTCAGCTCCCTTGAATCAGTCCAGGGTAGCTCTACAGAAGAAAGAGCTGCAAGAGGTTGTACAACCTTGATTGGGATTGAAGCAGTGAGACCAATCGCATCAATTTGACTTCAGGTGCTAGATCTGAGCATGACCTGATCGATGCCAAACATCTCCAGCGTTCCTCATGGGCCGTCAGTGAGCTACAAAGAATTGATAGACGCAACGGCCAAAATAGCAGCATCTGAGACACGATGATAGGATAAACGCAATATCAAGAGCAGAAATGTAGTGCAAGTATCTTGCACGGGCTCCCTTTCTCTTCAACGTCTTCTATCGCATTTGTGCTAGGTACCTCAGCAGGTCGAGTCCTTCGTGATGGAATACCACATTGGGACAACGGAATTGCTTGTGTCAAGGCCGCAATCATAACCTTAAACATGAACGTTGTAAGAACAGGAGCTGTCTCAAGATTGATACCTCAATAGAACTCGTTCAAGACACTACATTCCTTCTTTTCATGAGGTTGCACTTTCTGATTGATATCCGGAATTGAGAAGGCAAAATGGAAACTTGGATGCAAACGGGAAAAAGTGGAGAAAGACCTTCCTCTCCCGGCAGTAACTCCTTCCAACATCATAACTCTGTTTACTGCCTAAGGTAAAGTGCCTAGCAGAATACTCCTCCCTTCCCTTGACTTCAGACGCTGCAGAAAAACTTCATCATTTAACTTCCTAATTATCTTCAATGCCTCAACAACTTCAATTTCTCTCAATAATGCCTCCAATTGATGTGCAGTCGCAAAGGCGTCCGCAAATGGACCTGATTGCGATGTTCAAATCTCTAGTGGAGGTTCTTTATCACTACCTATTTACTGTGCTTGTCAGCAAGCGCCGAGCTTCGATTAATGCCTTCCGCAATGAAAAAGGAAATCTCTATGGGCTTCCGAACCAACATCGGCCTGCAACGCTGGTACTACACGAACAATGCCGTCCCATTGGTAGCTTGATCGACACACAAGCACGCACTTCTCTAGAGGCGCAGTCATGTACAACCACACCACGCTGTCCAGAACGAGGGAGACGGCGCGATAGGCCAGGAAGAGGAAGAGACGACGTTAGGGAAAGTGCCAGATCTGTAATGTGCGATGTGCGATGCGTGTGCAACATGGCCTGCATGATCTCAGAGAACCACCAACCTCATCGGCGCCAGCCCTCGCTCGCTTGTTTCCCGCCTGCAATGCACACATCCTGCTCAATTCGTTGCTCCAGATTTACAGCAGCGGGAAACGTATTCCTTTTCTGCCCTCCCTCCGAAGAACTTGGCGGTACGGGATGCATCTCGGTTGGGATACACTGAGCTTACAGTGCAGAGACACAGACAGTTGCTTTTTCGTTCAAGCAAGGAGCATCAATGGCAAGGCATGGAGTTTCTGGAGAAATGATAGCACACATTTTGTTCCCCTGTACACCTGTCTCAGCTTTTGCTACTCAAGCTTTTGCGTGAGGTTGTTGAGGATGCCCTCGGCTTGAGCCGAGAGCTGCAACAAACGATAACAGAGCCATGCACAACCATTGTGCAATACCGTCCCCATGGGCCCTGTTACTAGTCTGAATTCCCGCAAGCAGGACGAATTTCAGTGCCCCTGACCAAGCGTACAACACGAGAGCTTTGTTGTTTCTCCAAAGGCCTTGGACGAGCTCGAAGCATAGCCACATACGCCATGTACTCAATGAGTTATCGGTTGGCTGTTTCGAATTTCACCGACGCTTCGGCTGATGCTCAAAACAACTCTGGGCTGTTCAGGTCTACTGGGGTGTTGCTCCAATCTCCAGAAACGAACATTAGATCACTGACGGAACAAAGAAGCATTGGAGCAATCACCCCTACTCGCTCAATACCTATTTTGCAGACTTGACAATCCTTATCACGTAGGCCGAATCGGCTCCCATTCACCTCAAGCTCACTGAGACATGCATGTGTTCAGGACCTGGAACAGTGTACTGTAGCTGTCTGGCCCTGGTTATCGGGATGGTTTCAACTGAGCACCCCGTCAAAATCTCAACACATGGAGCTGGTCCCGCCAATGCGTCGTCGTATCTCAGACAGAGACGGTGAATCCTTGGAACAGGAAGCCTCAACTCGCATGCTGGAGTTAAAGCATATGTGACTCAAAGTGCGGGTTGGGACAAGCAAATCTGTGGAACGTCGCTGAAGATGTCTTACAGGCTACCGTGCAACAACTGTGAAGCGAAGTCATGAGCCATAATTCACATTGCCCTATGAGCTCTCCCGTCCAAGTCGACTTGGTACATCGTAGGCACTCAACCACTATGACGGAGTGGAATCCGGAGGAACAAGGCGGGGTAGAGAACAAGATATGTTTCGCCTCTACGAGCGTCGGGTTGAACGATTGCCTCCTGGATTTGCTTCGGACAACCGCCTCACCACGTCAGAATCCAAGCCAGAGGTTTGGACAGTCAACCTAGCTGCGAAGGGATCTTGACCTTGCGTCCGAAAGTACCACCTGAAGATGTTCTGGAAAGCATAGTCTCGGGCGATATCATCAACAATGATGTTTTAAAGCAAACATTATAACATCACACTGAAATGCTAAAGCATGTTCTCAGGTACTGACCGAAGAGATTCGGGTTCTTGGGCCCCAGAGGTGTGTGGTGGGGAGCGGGTGCAAGGATTTGACGCTAATCAAGTCCCAACTTCGTTACCTCAGGGGCTGTGACAACACGCCAAAGCCCTTCGTTACAGTGAAGAGGCCTGATTGGTCTCCCTGATCCAATACTTGAATTGATTCGCGCCGTCCACCAAGCACTTTATGTCTGCTGTAAGGCGGTTCCCTTGCGAGCGGCCCGCGTGCCATGTTTATCACTAGCATCCCAATAGCACATGCTGCAGGATCTCACAACTCAGTTGGGCCAGTCTTGCTTGCTCGCTTGGTCAATCAGCAGGTCTGAGTACAGCTAGATGCTACAAGCAAGGACGATCCTTACGGCTACTGTTGCACCCCTGAAGTGATAACCCCGGTTCCCTGTGCAGATCGCACACCCACACCTTCTCTCCAGGCCGGCTCGAGCTCTGAACCTTGATGCTGTGAGCTATGGGAAACGTCAAGCAGAAGAAGCAGTGCGATATTCCCTTGGCTTTTCCGTTGAATGTCTGAGAACCTTTCAAGAGCCGAGGTGGCGTTCGTTCAAAGGTTTTCGTTCAACCTAGCCCTGGTAGTGTCATGCTACATCAATCACACCCCCGGCAACTGGCAATTGGAGAAGGAACAATACACCTGCTAGATGCCTTCTCAGTCGCGAGACTGAAAATTACGATTCGAGCCGCTCAATTCTGCTTATTGAATCGCGCAGTTTTGGTTTACCTGGCTCGCTTGTTTCCCATCAGACATTCAGGTGTTTGATCGGGCGTAGCTCGCACAGGACACCCCTGTCCGTGGCGTTGCGCGCTTCTCGACTGCGGGTATTAGGCAATTACTTGCATATATGTGTAAATTGCCATGATGGGGACACAAAACCAGTGGCTGTTGTCAATGGCAAGTGACGAGGTTGTATAAGATAAGTGGCACTCCCCTTTGAGACTTCATGTGCATACTTGCCTTGAGTCAAATAAACAAACAGCTTGACAGACGGAAATCTATTATACCATAATTCCACTCAATCATCAGATCGTATTTCCGGCTCTAGTCTCCGCCAAAATTCAGCCGGGCAAGGATTCCATTACGTTTGCCAGGGCATACCGAATTAAGGAAGTTGACTTGGAATGGGTCTGGCAACTGATGGCATGCGCTTGGCTACAGTTACTGACATCTCTTTTACCCAAGGTCGAGTCAGCTATTGTATCTGTTAACGAACAAGGGCTATCATCTTTTACTCGAATTACCACCTATACTGAAGAGGTATGGTTCAATATGATCTTTTGGGGCTTCTGAGTTCGCTACTTCCACCATGGCCATCCTCTTTGGTTATTTTCTTATTGTTCTTCCCCGCTTTATAACTCGTATCAACGGCCCATGTCGCTCCTCAGCTTCGTCCAAGAGTCGACGGCAGTGGCGTTTTGTGTGCTTCCAAGTCTCTTGACTGTGAGAGAGACCGCGACGCCAGTGTGAGAAGCTTCAATGATCACCTTGACGACCCATGCATCCCTTTGGCTTTCCCTTCCTTTTATCCCTTGCCCCACGCTTTTACTCCACCAGCGCGATAGAATTGCACAATTAGCCCGCAATTGTTTGGCCATTTGGCGTCAACTCACGAGCCTTCATATCAATCTACGAAGGAATGAAAGGCCTACCGTAGGAACCAGGGGCTTTGACAGAATGTTCACATACGCACAAAAAGCAAAAACGAGACTAATTGAAATGGAGTTGACAGATTTGACTCAGAAGAGTGCCGAAAAGACGATCACTGATCATCCTATACAAGCGGACCAGGATCATATTTTGATCAGGTTTAATCCTTGTTCAGCGACACGGAATTCCAGCACCCCCGGCGAGCAAGAGTTAAGCCCGTCCCGGGCTTCGCTGACGATTGCACGCCTAGTCTGCCTGGCGCATCCTCACCTTGGGTATCGACTGAAGTGGTGGTCGATAAAGTTGAATCGTTGACGCGAATACGGTCGATTGATGTGTGTGGTGGTCTGTTGATTCAAAAGCTTTTGCTCTTTTGGTGACTGATCATCGGGACAAGATTGTTGGAGGCTAAGCTGAACAGCGAGCTCCATCGCAATTTCGCTCCGCGGTGATCTGAAAGATTGAAATTTCAGCGGTCCGCTTCCGAAGATCTCTCTTTCAAGCTTGCTTTTTAAGGTGAGTTGTGTATGGTTCTGATCTGTTTCTGTATCAACCCTGGTCTGCCGGCTGCAACATCCTGTTCTCGCATGCTGTATGAACTTTGGGGGTCTGTCCTACTAAGAAATATGCCCCCCAACGAGTAGTTAGGAATTCACAAAGGAGAGAACAAATGGAGACGGGAAGACGGGAGCGGACCCAGTACGGTTAGGACCGCACCTTTCTGGGATGGGACCCTCTTTTTATCCCTTGAGTCTTTCCTCCCTTGAAGCCCGTGGGTTCCACGGCTATTACTGGATAGCGCTCTTCAGCCCCTACAAACGATCTTGGCTGGCCCTTGATATCCAGCTGATGTCGCCTGCGCCGTGCACTATGCACTACCGACACCCTTGCACACCACTATCGATTCCCTTGTCGAAGCGTAACATCATCGCGGACCAGGCTAACGACACCCCCAGGCTTCCCGATTGACTACCCACGCATTACGCACACATTCCATCGTTCAGGCACGTTACAAACCGTTCTTTTATTTTTAATTTGGCTTCTCAAGTTCTTGCCTTTTTTTTTTTTTTTTTTTTTTTTTTGCGCTTCAGCTGAGTTGCACAATACCAAGAAAAGATATCCCTTTGAGGCTAGTGTGCCTCCTCTCCTTGCGTTCATCTCCTGCTCCCGACCTCTTTTTCTTGAGGCCGTTTGATCACGGACGGTCCCAACGTCCCATCAAAGGGGGTGCATCCAGGTTCTTCGTCGTCAATGCTGCCACGGGTTTGTGGTGTCTCCTTATTGCCGCCATGGCTTACCATGATAACATGGGTCCTGGAGACTTCGGGATGCTTGTGGGTAGATGTTAAAGCAGCAAAGGCCTTCTCGGGGTAGCACATGATAGATTATATGTGAGCACCAGTCAAGTATCCCAAGTCATGCCTCCTGAGGACTGGCACACAGAAGCAACTCAGATCGAGCTTCACCACCATTTCCCGAACCCATGATACATCCCCTCCCCACCTGTTGACGCTGCCATCACCCTTGCAGGAGGCTTTGAGACACTTGAGGATCTGGCATAACGGCCAAGGTGGTAGATTGCTAGCCTCCGCAGATGCCACAACCACGGCATTTCCCTCCAGCATTGCCTAGCTCCTTTGCTGTAGCCAGCGTTGCCACTACTGCAGACTGGTTCTGTATGCAAGTTCATGGTTGTTCCCTCGTCTCCAAAAGCTACTTTCGAGATAGACGAGCGGGGGGCGGGATCGCCAGGCAGGGTCCCGCAGACTCGACTTGACAATGTCCAAGGCCAAAAGCAACCAGACGGCGCCTTTTCCTCCCTCCCTCCCTTACCCTTGCACTTCGTCTCCATTTCTCCTCTAGTCAAGGTGTTCCCCATCTTCATTGGCTTCCGTCAGGAAGGGATGGAATAGATACATCAATCCATAAGCTCAAGCTACTGGTTTTGTTTCGCCCTTTCTTCCTTGCCTCCCCGCCCTTCGGCCCAATATCTTTTCAAAAACATCTGAATCATCACCATCTCCCCTTGATGCAGGGCAATATTTTGCATACACAAGTCCAACTTTCCAAAAGAAATGCTCTCTCATGTTTCGTCTCCCTCATCTGCCTCCGACACCTGCACCAACACTCTTTGTCAAGGCTCTGAAGTTCCCAAATCTAAGTCAAGTCACTTACCCGCACTGAACCATCTACCCGTCTGTCTGTCTCTCTTCCACGCCCTAGCTTCAATCCGAGCAAGTCGGATCCATAGGCTCGCGGGATCTCTCGTGAACACAGCGATGTCCTGAAGCTGAACTGACCAACAACAGCCTCATACGCCCTTGCAGCTGAACGACGTGTATTACAACCTTGTAGACATTCGTTTGACCCTTAGTCTCAGTTTGTTCCTGTTGATCGCAATTGAAAACTGGTCTGCAAGGTACGCAATATGTTAATGCTACGAAGCTGTGTTGCTCGAAGCACAACAACCAAGGTGGCAAGCCCACGCCATCATCCCTCCTAGTACACAGCAAAAGACCAAATCTGACAGAGTCTCCAGGAACATTCGCTCAACGGCCATCTTCAACAAGCTATCCTTACACTATCCGTTTATTTGTTTTCTTCTATAAGGTATTTATATCAACATTGCCACGCATACCTGAGCACCCTAACCTGACCTTCCCGCGTCAAAGAGTTCACTACCCCAGGTTGAGTATCATTCTCCCTCTACTGAAGAGGCTTCTGCAACTAAGAGCAAGGAAATCTGCCCTTTTGGAATGCAAGTGTCTTTGGACTGGATTGGAATCAAGATTACCCCTCTCAGTTTCTTGCAGCTCTCCAGTAGAATCCCCGCCATTCACCTCGTCTGTCTCAAAGCGCCACTTCCAGGACGCAAAAGCAATTCAAGGGAGAGCCTGACCGACAACACTAAGCATTCAACGGCATCATCACTGTATATTACTGCATGCTCTGTGCTAGATCAAATCTACGAGAGTCAAGACTCGTACATCAATCATTGTCTTGGTCGACCCAGACCCGCTGCATAAGACCTCGTCGAGACCTGGTTTTAACTACGACCGCGACTACTTCTGTCCAAGACAACTGGTCAACATTCTCAACTCGCCTCCCTGAACCAAGAACCATTTTCTATCGTTCTCCCTTCCCAGCAGCTTGAATGTCTACTGTCAAGTTCCAGTGTCCTCCCTACAAGCTTTTTGAGGTGAGTCGTAACTTAGACCTTGTTCCAACCCTCCCATGACAAACGGACCCCTTTTGTTCTTCGACGCCGCCCACGAGTCTTCAAAGCGTTTCTCTTTTGTCTCCTCTTATCGACTTCTGCTGTCTTTCAACGTCTCGCCTCTATAGTGTTTTGGGAGCTCAACACTGACATCGACAATCCATAGCCTGACTACCATCCGCAAAAGCCCATCATCGTAGGAGTTGACGACAGGCTTGAATCGCCTGACACGATCGAGCTTCGTTACGAAGAAGCTGCCCGAGCAGAGACCGGGGGAGACCCACGAGGGGACTCCCCTCCTAGGCTCTTAGAGATGGCGACTTACACCAAGGCCCAGCTGCCTTCCATGCATGGTAAGTCAACAGATCCGAAGCTCAATGGCACAGCCTATGAGAGACTGGAGTCAATAATATATTATATCCGAGTCATCTTAGGACTGTTAGAGCAGCTTTGTTGACAAGATCCCGAAATGAACTTCGCTAACACAATATCAGCTGGTTACGATGTGGCCCGATACCAAGATGCAGGCTATGAACAGTACTCTACGCAGACCTACCCGACTCAGCAACAATCCGACAAGTTTGCCCACTTGAACCAGCAATCTTTTGCATCAAACAGTGCCGCCGTGGCACAGTATATGCCTTCTGGCCCTGCAGTTCTATCATGCCAACCCGCAACGGGCATTTTTGGCACCAAGGTCTATGTCAAGCTCTCATCTCAATACGACTTGTTCTCGTTATCTACTCCGATTCCAACGTGGTTTTTGGTGTTCGGATCTGAGAAGTGCTCTGCTCAAGACGTCTCTCGAGATATACAAGAGGGGTCAGGGTTTATCTACACTTGCAGTGGAGATGCCCCTCAGTTTTTGGTCACAAACTGTGCAAACAGTAATGTGCCGTTGTCACTCGTCCTCGACGGTCCTTCTGGAGAAGAAATTTCTCGCATTCCCGTTGGTACTTTTCAGTATCTCGAAGGGTCGGGGGATGACATCACGAGGTCGACTAAGATGCCTAAGCATGAGGACGCGGCACCTGCCACTACGATCGATCAGCCGAGTACCTCACCCAAAGGTGAGCCTCAGCTACCATCAGAGCCTGGTACAAATACCTATGAATATCCACCTCAGCAAGGACAATATGCCAATACATTCCCGCAAGCAAACAACGACATGATTAGTACTTACAATAGAAGCACGAGCTTCACGGATCCTCACTACCATCGGCGTCCAACGGCTGGATGGAGCCCTTATCCGAGCACGCTGGGCAGCACAGGGAGGGGCCCAGGTGGATTGGATACTTCCTTGGTTGGACGTCCGCCTTTGACACCCTTGGGAATGTCGTCTCCGTCTCACTCTAACGGCGCTCCCCAACTTGTCCGAACTAGCACCATCACTGCCAATGCTGGAAACAACACAAGTTACCATCCTATCTCGCTTTATTCTGGCAAGGCAGTTTTGAAGATTTCAGGCAAGCTGGAATCGATGGCCGAGAACTGGACATCAGAGGAATGGGCCAACCGTCGTCGGATTGTCCTCTTCCGTAAGACACAGAAGGGGTCGACTGTGAACGCTACCTGCCAACCGGTAAGCGTCAATGAGCGACCAACCAACAGCATCTGCATATCATGCATCTGGTGGGCCGAAAAGGGCGAGTGCTATGTCACATCGGTCGACACTATCCACCTTCTCGAGCAACTTGTCGCAGCGCCGAACCGTTTCAGTGTCGAGGAGAAGAACCGTATTCGCCGTAACTTGGAAGGATTCCATCCGCAGACAGTTTCCAAGGCCAAACCGGATAGTGAGGAGTTCTTCAAGATCATTATGGGCTTTCCTAATCCCAAGCCCCGCAATATTGAGAAGGACGTCAAGGTATTCCCATGGAAAATTCTTGAGTCTGCCCTCAAGAAGATTATCGGCAAGTACAGCGTTAATCCCAGCACGCCGGCCCCTCCCCCCATGATGAGCCAGTCCAACGGAGGGTATGCGCCTTTACCCACGCCTCCAGGACAAAGCATGGCCCCAGCTCACCCTGATGCTCATACGCAATACTCGCTCCCTCAGCATCACGACTCGATACCTTCCCCGCGATCACTGTCAGGCTCTCAAACTAGCTGGACACCGTACACTACGGCGCCTGGATACTCTACAGCTGCATCTCGAACACTGAGCCCTGGTTTTCGTCACCACAGCCCGCAGCAACCGCCTCTGCGTATCAACACAACACCCCTGCCAGCGGTTTCGACCTACGACAGCCGAAGCGGAGGATATGGAACAAGCGGTTTGCACACCCCGCTGAGCCATCACCCACCGACTGCAACTCCTCCTCGATGGGACCCAACGCCTGCAACATACCCAGAAGGCTATCCCAGCCTGACATCACAGACAGCTCAGCCAGTGTATGGTGCAGCGGGATATGCGGAGCCTGCACCAAGAGCATGAAAGGGCTGTGGCGCTCTGTCGCCTAGGTCATCATCGGATGACCATTGAGTGCCCCGCGGGCCTTCTATCTCGTGTTGATGGCTTAGTTGTG